GAGGCAGTTAGATAGTGAGTTTTCGGTTGTGCAACGGGTACTTCCGTAGAAGAATGTGCCCAGCACCAAAAGCTGCGTTGGTTGGGACATGTGTTGCGTATGCCGAACCATCGTTTGCCGAAGAGAGTGCTGTCTTCCAGAGTGTCATTCAGAGTGGCGTAAACAGAGAGGTGGCCAACCCTTGACGTGGCTGAGGGGTATGAAGAAGATTGCGAAACGCTTGGGTGCTGTCGGTGCTACTCGCTTTCCAGGATGGGATCCCCGTGATCCCCACAGAGCCTGGTTGGAGACACTGCAGGATATAGCTGCCAACCGATGTCAGTGGCGTTCTTGTCAGTTCCTCTCCAGATTGCCCGAATAAGTGTCTGGAGGTGTAGGCACCCCGGAATGGTTGTAGTAAGCTAGCACCAAGTCCCTTCCCCGTCCGCATTTATACTTTTCTTCACAATAATGCTTTCAAATAAATCATGATTGTACGGTATCGAAACATCGTTGTTGAACACTGATGTTATGTTGTCGATGATGATGATGATGATGCTGTTGATGATGATGATGATGATGAGCGTTAGCCTGACCCAGTTGCAACACCGTACGTGATTATGGTCCATGGGTACGGAAAGTAATTGTCTGACTATAAACTCATCGTTGCGTACATCGCAAATGTCGCACCGTGCACATCTCTATAGAACAGACACTACTGTGGATAGTCTGTTGGTCAAAGCATATTTTGCGCACATTCCCACGTGTCGATTAACGAGGGCAATTAAGCGCAACCGACTACCTGGCCTCAGGCGAGCGATAGCGAATGTCGCTTGGACTGCTTGAGAAATGTGTACACATGTTGGGGATCTTCAGTAACCAATGTCAATCTTGTTAGACAACTGGCGAGATAGCTGGTTACGATCGGGACGTGTGTGCGTATCACAGATCCAAATCGATACAATTATACCTATAGCTGGAAGGCATGTTTGCAACAGCGTCACTTAAACAGTTGAACTTGTTTATGTGATGCAGTTAATGAGGATGAATGTGGAAAGTGGTTATAACAGCACTAGGGTTTTTCTTTTGCGCAGTACGACTATTAATGGTGTGCGAACCGTGGTGGGCGGATTGACTACTTTGACGGGCTTCTCGCCATCAAAAGAAATGGATCTTTTTTCGAATGACCTAACCGGTCGGTATTGTCTACCGCTGCTAATTCTTGTGGAGTTACCATGCAAGAACCTACTTCAACACTAGGTAATTCCAGCTTGCGCTCGACACGTGCTCCCCTCGCATGTCAGATGTCCGGAGTGCCCCAACACTGCTCGCCTCGCATGTCAGATGTCCGGAGTGCAAGCCCCAACACGGTCAAGACCATACACAGCTGATGAGCTTTAGTAAGGACGAAACTCAAGTTCATTTCTTCCATCTTTTGGTGCTGACTCACCATAATAATTGCGCCAGGACCGGAGGATGACTGCTCAAACCAGAGTGTTGTGAACGTGGATCTTATGTATGCTGGTTTTGACCAGTCCAATTTAATGACTACCCATACAGTAATAATACACTACACTCAATGCCTATGCTTCCCTTCAACTAAATGTGCTGCATAAAGACCACCTCATTTTAAAGAGCTTTCAGCAACCTTGTGAGTAGTTTTCTCCATGAAAATATACTGTGATATCTCGAATATAATGTCGACTGAAACATGAGGAGGCCAGGCGCAGCAAATTCAATTGCTTAAAAACATTATAAACGAGATACTTAGTTGGGTTCCAGGTGAGCCCCGCTCAAAACCAAATTAGTATGCAAATGAGTATACTTTGCTGACTTCCCATATACTCATTATTGAGTTTTTCTTCTGATTGAAATGACCTTGATTCACTCAACAAGGGGGGCTCTCTGGATTGTACAGTGAACAGCCTAGTGCCAAGCAATGAAGATCAGGTGAACAACCAACCGGTCAGCTGACATTTCTCCGGACACTGGAGGCCGAATTTGGTTGTTTGTTTATAATAAATTGTTGCAACAGGTCACTGATTTCTGCAAGTAACTAATGACTAGCAGCTGCTCCCGGCCNAATGAGTATACTTTGCTGACTTCCCATATACTCATTGTTGAGTTTTCATTCTGATCGAAATGACTTTGATTCATGCAACAAGGGGGCTCTCTGTAATGTTCAGTGAATGGCCAAGTGCCGAGGAATGAAGATCAGGCGAACGACCAACTGGTCAACTGAAATTTCTTTGACCGAATTCGGTTGTTCGTTTGTAATAGGTTGCATGGGCATTGTTGCAACAGGTCATTGATTTCTGTAAGTAACTAATGACTACCAGCTGCTCCCTGCCCTCACGATGTCCACTGGACTGGTTCATGGTTTTCATTCCTCTGACTTGTCTTCGTTTCGAACCTGCACTCATGGGCAACTCTCTAGCCAGGGTGCAGCTGAAACAAAAAGTAAAAACAACGGGTACGAAATTGACGTAACTTGTTGGAGACACGTGGTTAGACAAAAAATAATTGATAGTGGAAACGTTTATGCCATCATAATCCTGCTTGTCGAGACCCACTGCATTGTAAGGCGCTCTGTTTAGGCCAGGAAAGTCAGAACTACAGATTTCATTTTGGTTTCGAGATAGTTGGTTAACTTGCCCTAACCATTCATGTTTTTTCCTCTGACTCATAACAGCATAATAATGAACCGACCAGAAAAATTCAAGGTTACTATTTCGCAGACGGAAAAAGAAAAATTGGTGAGTTATTTCTCCTGTCTGATTGTTGATTGGGCTGATGATCAGCCGTGTTTTTTTCGGTCTACTGTATCGTGCCATTTAGACTATTGCTCAAGTGGAATATATTTACCCAGTGTTATTATCCTATCACTCGTACCAATGTAATGTATTCTGGTAGTTTCGAACGAAAATCTGGCAGCGAATTTATGCAAATGTTTGGGTATCGTCGGCTGGTTAGGATCGAACTGGAAGATGAGATGTTTTGTGCACATATCGCAAGCTAAAGTACAGAATGGGAGTCTTTTTGCTTGAGAGTAACTGCATGAACCACCTTCAGATGGTCCAATCTACTTTGGGTTACTGTCGTAAAACTACGAAGATTAGCTCAAAGCTTGTTGCTCTCGAGGCAGATTGTGTGGAAACCCAGCGCTTCTGTTTGAATCAAGCTGTATCTCTGCATAAATTTTATTACCATTACTGCTCTTTATAGGGGGAACGCCTTTGAGCGCATGGACGAATCTTTGCCAGTCTCCGTCTTGAGGAAGCTGACTGCTTAGGATTTTCGGGCCTAACTCGGCTCGGATTTTGTTTAAAAAAAACTTAGTGCCGTGACTGCTCATTATTCCAAGTCCATTAGTGCAATATCATGACTGGACGATACAAAGTTAGTAAGGGATAACATAGCATCCGAATCCCCCAACTCCGTTCGAGCTTAATACAGCCACATTGTTACCATAACTGATGTTCGGTAGTGCGTTAGAGGGGACTTCCAAAAAAATGTTCATTTCCAGACGCTCTTTGGAGTTCGAGACGTAATAGACCAATGTAATGCTCGGCCACTGTGCGCTTGGTTCTCATTTGCAAAGGTCACTCTACTGATTCTTTCCTTCTGTTCTTATCAAAAAATGTTCATTTCCGGACGCTCCTTGGAGTTCAAGATGCAATAGACCAACAAAAACTTCTTCGAATGTAATGCTCGGCCACTGATGAAGCTTGCTCCAGAAGAGGGCCGGTGTGCGCTTGGTTCTCATTTGCAAAGGTCACTCTACTGATTCTTTCCTTCTGTTCTTATTGTATACAACGCGGTTCCTCGTTTTCTTGTTTCCTTTTTCCGCCTATACCACCTGAACGTAAACCGCTCTTTCACCTTGTNTGTTTAAATCGGTTTTGCCGTCGTTTGGCCACCTTGTCTTGAGTCGGTGTGAACTTTGGGTAGGCGAAATCTTTTCAATCTACCTACCGTTTGGAATTAGCAGTCTCTAAACCGGTGTACAGAAGCCGGCGTAATCCCACGATCTGAGGATTGTACGATTTTTTGTTATGATACTCATCGTGCCTGTTGTTGATAAGCCTCCATTTGAACGGTTTAACTTTTGGGGTATTGCGCGTAACTCAACGTGGTCCAACTGATCACTGGAAACAATCAAAACACTCAATGCAACCCCTCCGTGGCCAGGCATGTTGATTCATTGTGTTCGCTAACATCCCTGTCTTGTCATTTTTACTGTACAGTGAAGGGCATCCGTTGGCGTGCGCATCTATGTCTCTCCCTCTTTCCAAACCAACCTTATGAAGTAAAGTGTCTGCTCTAGCAGAGTTCCTTGCGAAAAACGTTAAAGCATACTTCTACCGCGATCAATACTTCTAAGCCGTCACTTTCTGCGATACCATACTGACGAACCTTTGGGCTTTGTGCTTTGCCATAAGCCGTTGGATGTACAGAAGCCGCACTGAGCGAATGCCACACTACTCTTCCAGGTTGCATGTTGGACTAAAAACGAAACGCTATTCAAATTTAGCCTGTATGAGAGATCGGACTTGGCAAACTGAAGGCGTTTTCCTCACGGTTGTCCGTCGTTCTGGATAATAAGATCACTTAACGGACATTTTCGTAGAAAGAACCTGGATTGAGTCATGCGTTCATCGACCCCCTGATGACCTTCCACAATCCTCCTGAGGTTATCGGTAGAACTAAATTCATGTTTTGTTCAGGATATAGTTTTGCGGCCAACCCTCAGCAGTAATGTTTGGTGATTGTTTGTTGCAAACCTTAATTTTGTATCATTAGCCGTGATAGCTTCTTCGCACAGTGTGGCGGTAACCCATGAAACTTTACGGTGGGAAACACTGGGTGATAATGCGAAATCATCCTGAACGGCGGCTACAAGTGAGTACGTTTGCGGCCAGTTTGAACTTGTTCAATTCCGCAGCCGGATTCGGTCGAGTCGCGGTGGATATACATCTCGCCTAGTCGACTTACCTACCAATTGTGGTGAACTCCAGCTGTGTGAGACATCAACTCTATTCATCGTCGACAATTTTTTTCAAAACTACAACTCCACTGCAATTTTGAAGCAACTCTCTTGGGAAGGTTTCTATTTTTATCAGGAAAAAAATCAAGAGACCGAACGATTTGACTAGTTTCTCTAGTTGCTCTCCGACTATGACAGGCACTAATGTACACCACCAAAAGCTGTGCTTCTCTGTGCACTTGGATTAGTGCTCAATTGAGAACACTTTTATTCCATACTGATTTACTAAACCTCCCAAGACAGTTATTGTTTTCAATCTGTTCTACTGATGGTGCAGGGTAATCCCTTTTTTAATGTTTTTAGACTACGTCCTTGTCTGGGAGGATAACCCCGACGAAAAACATCCCAGCAAAGTTGTTCGAACCAACCGAAGACTCCGTAATGAATATCTGGCGAATTTGCACAAGATAGGTGTCGAGACGGAATTGGTGAGTGATTTGGTATGATGGTGTCTTCTGCCCACTCTCAACAGATTTGGTCAAACGCAGAAGCGCCTTATTCGATAAGAAATCAGGTTTACTCAGGAGCGATCGGGCGTGCGTCCTGACAGAGACATTGCTCCCCAATGGGTTGGGGATTCACGAATTGCGTATGAATGTTCTGAGTGGATTGTTGTGCTCTGTTGTGTTGTCCACTTGAGTGGGAAAAAGTACTCGGGACAGAATTGCAACCAGCAGTGTCACTCGACCTTCGTTAGCTGAAACAACGGGGATGATTCAACAGCCAAGTCACTCAGAAACATTTAAAACTTGATGGCTCCTGACCCACTTCCTGAAACGTACGTGATGACTATGCAGAATGACCGTCTGCATTTTATAATTCGAAACTCTCAAACTGTCTGTATGTCACTGGCGTCGAAAAAGCCGACAGCGAAGAGCTTTGTGTTACTGTGTTATTTGATTGAATTCCCACCGGAAGTCGCGTAGCCTTCCCCTGAGCCCAGTAGTTTTAAGTTTTTCAACAGGCCATTTTGACAGGCCGTTACCATACACTATGACTCATCAATCAGCTCGACGGATACGAAGAGTTGTAGTAACAAAATTTCAGGACCACTTGTATTTTCCAGAACATCTCTACCATTGTTTAGATCAAATTTTTCTAAGGACATCATCAGTACACACGTTCTATTCACGTTCTGGAACATTCTTGATGTTCGCGTAAATTAAGCGAGATAGCAGAACCCACAGAATCTCAATCGGATTGAGGCCGAGACTGTAAACTGCCCCATTCGCAATTGCCTTGGTGCGATGGAACAAATCAGAGCCATCATGCATGAGCTGTTGCATCGATTTGTTAAAATTGTGCATCCAGCTGATCGCTTATTAGATACGGCACCTGATAAATCCAGGAGCTCCTCCAAATCCCATCTCCAGAAGAAGGTGAATCGTTCGGCTGGCTACATCGCAGAAAAGTCACCTGCTTTTTGATCAAAGTATCCATCAAACGAATGTGGAGAGAGTTCACAAGCGGTTTTTTCATTCAGCCATTGAGCTCACATCACGTCATATGACTAAGTGAAACGCTTGAAGCCGACCTTGGTGTGGTGACCAGAGGTGATATGCTTCCAGAAGATAGAGTTATCGCTACATATTCTGATTCATAGTGACTTTTCAGAGGGTCAAATGACTGAATGCTCGAGTTGAAGCTTCGTTTACTCCAGTCTTTGCCACAAATAATCGGGAGGAAATGCAGTCGTCCTCATCTCATTCGAACTCAAAACTTCATGCTGTCAACAATATTGTAAGTCTGTATGGTTCAGTGGCACCCTGAATTCACAGAGTGCAAATTTCAAAGCTTTTAGGCTGGTCAGATGTTTATACGACTTCATTTTGCCTTTGTTTACCGCTCATAATCATCGTTGTCCATTTTTACGTCTCAACGATGACCTAATCTATACAACTCCTAGATCTGATTGCAATTGCAAAATCGATACTAACCCTTATCTCAATGAGTTGCGTTTTTCACACTGTTTATCCGAAACCCTACAAAGTCATTTACCAACTCATGTAGGTTCGAAAAATCCACATCAACAGTGCTTTTATGACGGTCGGTTCAATGAGATTCAATAGTGCAATCGATTTATTGCCGTTGACTACTCAAGTTTATTGGGTATTGATTAGGGTGGTGGGTCATGGAAACGGCCATTTATTAGGCATGTCACACTGCACACATATATAGCTACCAGCAATACAATGATCCTCAATGGATTGTTTGTTATTGCAAACTGTCTGCGTTTCTTAGCATAACTCATTTTTAGAGCGAGTCTATCGTAAAGTTGTACCTTCAACGTAACACGACCTCTTCATCACACGCTTTATTGAGGCAAGGACCAGTGATCACTATCTCCCTCAATGCTACCATTTCTGTAGACAGTTTTAACCAACTCGCTTTAATGGTCTTACTTATCAGCAATTATAACCGTTGTTTTACTGTCTTGCAATGGGCATTGCAAAACAAACTTGAAAGTGGGGAACAACAGAGAAGTGTTGTAAACTTTCGTGAGCTTCTTTCCCTGTATTTTCTCAGCTGCAGAGTTTCAATAACGAATAGATGAACAGGAAGCACTAGCATTTAGAGGACTTGTTTTCCAGGTTACGGGGCGCAATGGCTCAAGTGGTTAGAGCGCTAATTTACTGACCGGAAGGTCTGTGGTTCAAACCCGACCTCTGCCTTTCGACTTCCCCTTTCTAGGATTGGGCATCCTGGCATTATCCTAGCCATCTTACTTCCTTCCGGTGGCATGGCAGTTAAGCACCGATAGAGTGTTACAGCTGAACGGTAAATTTTATTTCTTCTGCAGGTTACCAGAAACAAAAAGATACCTCTGCTGGTACAGCTCTTGCTTCTGGTTGTGACCTCATCGCTATCCACAAACGAGATTTTTTCACTCGTTTATTATGGAGGTTTCTTCCAATGAGATACAGCATAATTAATCGCGCCAAACTATGCTGAGTTCCTGGTGTAGATGCAAGCTCAGGAATAATGTTTGTGGATTTCGTCAAAGTCAACATATTCACAAAAGCCAAGAACTGATAGGTAGCTATTTTTTCGAATTATTGATGGTACATGCCAGAATTGAATATATTGAAAACCCATACGTTTCGTGGACTATTTTCTCCTGTTCAAAATATCATATTCTAAAAAGCCAAGAACTGATAGGTAGCTGTTTTTTCGAATTATTGGTGGTACATACCAGAATTGAACATATTGAAAACCCATACGATTCGTGGACTATTTTCTCCTGTTCAAAATACTCAAATTTTCGCGACAGCGAGGTGACTCTGAATTTGCTACTCAGGGTTCCATCTTATAAGTGTTGAACAGCCAAAAAGTACCGCTAGGTTGTCGTATCGTGCATTCCTTGAAAACGAATGAAAATCTGGCTGCAGATGGACCTATAACCAGTTACTCAATCACCTAGTCGGGACAACAAATAGTAAAAGATCACACTAATGTTGGCTGCGGGCTGTCTTCAGTCGACTGAATAAGTCCCGAGCACCACGTCAGCACTCACCAAAATCCAATGTCGCATGGAGATATCTTTAGAGCCATTACATCAATGCACAGTGACGTTTGGGGCTTGGTTGTTGATCCGGTGGCTGTTGATCTGTTCGCCGAGCTTGACAATTGACTTGCAATAAATTTGCAACAAGCCCACCCGAGGTACCAATATTTCGAAACATTAGCAATGTTTGGGGCTTTCCACCATGACAGTCTTTGGGTTGCTGACAGAATTGTGCGTGCATAAACCCCACTGTTCGGGTGGTACAGTAATTTTCGAAAACTAGACGTACTGCGATCAACTGTGTTGAGATTTGATTGGCGGGCTCCGCGTTAATCGATGTAGCTAGCCTTACACAGATAAGTGAGGACCTCACGCAAGTGCTAAATCATTGCTAACACCATCCTCGTAGCGGTCTTACACCAATCAAAAACTCTGATTCTAGCATCACATTGCCTAGTATTTGTGTACGATGACCCTTACATTCTCCTACGAACGATGTCAATCAGTGACGAAACGTTGTTTGTTGTTTCGTTTGGATGAACTATTCTGATTCGTACTGAAACATAGTCTGCAAGTGTGCGCTGGGTGTGGTTGGGGAGCGTAACATTCCCTTCAGAGCTTGAAGCGTTGATATTACTCGTTTTGTGTAACTGGCTTCAGATGATGTGAACGATAGCGATCGGCATTGGAGCCACGAAGTCAATCGCCGTTAATTATACTTTTGGGATGAGGAACATACTACTGAAGGTTTGATAGCAAATACAATCCGTAATGCGGTAAAAAAAACCTCACACCACAATACAACCAAATCGTATGTATTGTCCATGAGATGATGTTTCCCTGAACCTGCAAAAGTATCCTTCCCACTGGAGTGCGAGGGACGAACGGCCATCGCATGCTGTTCGGAAATGGAACGCAACAATGCGGGCAGTTCTGTCAGGTCTGATCTTAAGATAAACCGGAGCTCACCGATTCTCTGATTCATGAAAAATCGCAAGTGTGGTGTTGGTTTTATTGAGCATTTACTGTGGAGTTGCACTGTTTAGTGTTCAACAAGCCGTGGTCCCACTAAAGTTTACTGCCAAACATGTTTGCGTTTGTTCTAAGAAAACATTCAAACTTCGATCAATGCAGGTGTAGTCCTGATACAATAGTGTCTTAACAGATCGCGACAGGCCTATTTGACACTGTTACAGCCGTTCCGGAATGCTATATGATGCAACGGCTTGTTTGTAACTCCGATATTTTTGTCACACATCGCGAATGCCAAACTTCTAGCTTGCATTCCGCTAAGTTCATATCAGCCCATATGAAACTTTTTTTTCATTAGACTTCCTTTCGTAGGTTTTGCTTTACACTATAAGGTTTTGTGAACCCTTGTAATATGCATGATTCTGTGATTCGTAGAGGAGGGAGAAAAACACCGTGATCGTTAGATAAACAAGAGAAATTTGATGGGTCTTAAGCTGCGCTTAGGCTTTCTTACCTACCTCACTATCTTTGAATCGCTTGGTGATAAAGTTACGAAAACTTCTGCCAATTTTTCGAAACAAATGCAGAAAATGTTTCTCGGAGAATGTCCCATTCTCGATCTGATGGCACGCAGATGGTACTACAGTGCTACACTTTTTTATTTGACTGTTGTTTTGGAGCTAATTGATACTTTGCGAAGAATAGAAAATCACAGGGAACAGTGTAGACAAAAAAAACTGTACAAAAACGGGCTGTTGAATTGTTAGCTAAAGATCGAGATTGCCAGATGGTAACTTTTAGCTGCCCTGTATTTCATTATTGTAGTGCGCCAAATGAGAATTGATTTTAATCATTTGCCTGAATCAAGCATAAACAGATAATTGTCATCTATTTATTATTGACGCAATGCCATCACTGTCTTGCTAAACGTATTACTGAAATAGTCTGACATTCTCTTGCTCCGTGTTTTTATTCCATGGATTGAAACTCACAGTCTTGAATGTATTATCAAGTGCCATTGGAAGGATGACTAAAGGATGAGCGGCGCTGTACCCTGTCTAACTGCGAGTTAATCACACTGCCACTTGTGGCCGAACGGTCAATTGATCAAACTACTATCCGGGAGGTCGCGAGCTTGATGGAATCGCATGAGGTACACACTACTGATGCTTCCTAATAAGGATGAAATAAGTAGTGTTTCTTGACATTCCAGCATAGATAGGCTGTGCTTGCAGGACAGGTTCCCAAATCGACTAATGTGAGGATTACCGGACGAGTAGAACTAGTTGTCGACGGAGGGGACATCGCACATGCGGATACGCATAACGGAAAATAGACGTGAGCCCAAAGTGAATAGGAATTTGTCCGCCCAGGCATGGCCCTTCACAGCCGATTCAAAGAAGCCAAACCGAACACAATCTTTTACTAATTGAGAAGACATGGTAACGAGTGCTGAGTGAACAGAAAATCGGTAATTGTTGGTTTTAACGGGAAACGTAACTAGACTACTCGTTTGTAAGGAAGAGCGAAAATGGCAGTGGACCGTCCCCTGCCTTCATTGCCCTTATGGATAATATCACGTGAAGGAAAGTACTGCGATATATTTTTGAATAGCGTTCCAATAAAACATGTGGCAATCTTCGTGCAACTTCGTGTAATGTCACGAATCTTTCTTAACATGTTATTTTGACACCCAGTTTCGCGGGCCTTTGGAGGGCATACGCCACGATGGTGTCAATAAGAAACCTGGCAGGGGAAGGGCCCTGAAGAACTCCACTAGTTGTGGGGAAAGTTTTGGATAGCTAACTGTATACGGTCGGAATTATCAAAAAATATTAGCAAATATGAAAACGAAAGATTAAGTTGAGTTTTCACTACCAGCAGGAAGACTGGCGGTAAGCTGTTGAGAAGTTTTAAGCAGCCTCGTAAGTAGTGCGCTGTGTCAAGAAAATGCACTTCCTTGACTTGAATATCGCACCTAGAATATCGGCCTTTTTGCAGCACGGTTAACAAGTGTCACAAAAACAAGATTCAAGGTCACTTTGCGAACGAATGGACTTCGCTGGATCGGGATATATTTCCTATAAATTAGTGGCGATAAAGTATTAGAGACGTAGCCACATTAAACAAGACCACACTCTTGAATACAGTGACCATACAGGTCTACCACTGCCCTCTCCCCCTCAAAGAGAATCATTAGTTTTATTATAATGCTATTTTTGAGGTAGATTTTATCCTGTGAGTGAAGCCAATCTATACTGAAAAATCGATAATCGCTGTACCGCTGTTTCATTCATATTGGGAAGCTTCAGCAGTGCGTATCCCATGAGTCCCCAACCAATGAGCTCCCTCTGGCAGTTTGAACACTTGATCATTTGGCCCGCAAGCGGTTGGTCATCAATGTGATTAATTCGTACCCAAACAGAATAGCACGCAACCCCGGGTCTACCACTGCCCTCTCCCCCTCAAAGAGAATCATTAGTTTTATTATAATGCTATTTTTGAGGTAGATTTTATCCTGTGAGTGAATGAAGCCAATACTGAAAAATCGATAATCGCTGTACCGCTGTTTCATTCATATTGGGAAGCTTCAGCAGTGCGTATCCCATGAGTCCCCAACCAATGAGCTCCCTCTGGCAGTTTGAACACTTAATCATTTGGCCCTCGAGCGGTTGGTCATCAATGTGATTAACTCGTACCCAAACAGAATAGAGCGTCACCCAGTCTTCAGTCACAGAGTTCACGCCAAGAGTGAACTTGCTCCTCGACTGACGGTTTCCTAGATGGCGGTTCCACTCATCTTGTGACTTGTTCTTCCTCTGAGCTGCCTAAAGGTTGTTAGCAGTGTAAGGAGGTTTGAGAATTTTCACCTGAGATTTCGCTCTGTTTGTAAAGCCCGTGTATGCCGAAAATCCAAAAAGCACTGTACAGCTGTCTCGTCCATATTACGATCATCATCAGTGCTCACTCTTCGCTATGATTTTTATCGAAACACCTTACGCTATCTGCCTGAAATCTCTTTCCAATATGGCTATGTCGTTGAGCACTTTAACTCCTTCTCTGGCGCCACTGAATTCGTTCGTGATTCAAAGTCAGTCTTAGGTCAAATTAGTATGGAGGAGCGGGCAACCAAATTAGTCAATAAACTTTTCGAAAAGAGCAGTGTGGGTGGTGAACTAAGCTCCAAGGACAGAGAAGCAAATTACCTCGTTTCCAAATAGAACATCGAACGCTCGAAATACGAGTAAAGCCAATGTTCAAAGCAGAAAAGGATATTCTGGTCCCATGATGGAAATTGTAGTCTAACTAAATGATACAGGGGGCATGCCAGGTGAACAGGAAATCGATTCCCAAGTGAAGGACAAACGGTGAGCTGAAGGGAAGAGAACACTTTATGGATGGCATTATCCAGGGAACCTGAGGTTCGTCAACGCCAGAGGTCGCCAGAGCTAGTCAGGCGTTCTGGTTACCCAAGATCCGTTCGCACGACAACTCGGAAAATTATGAAACACAGTTTTTTACCCTTCACAGCGGAAGTAACCACACTGAACTGCGCATTATATCGCTTTGTTATCTGATCGAAATATCAAGAAAGCGAAGTCATGAGATTCAGTGAAGGACACACAGGATACGACCGACAAACTGAAGCACACTCCTGCGCCAGAACACTTATATGACTGACTTGTACACGTTCATATGCTTATCGGTCTAAACGTCCATTTACAATGTTAGGGACTGGTGTGGTTTTGAACACCTATTTTCCCTCTTTCTAGTGTTAGAAAGCGTAACGATACTTCGGTCCCCGTCTCAAAGCTTCCCATCCCATCATTTTTTTCTGACTCACTGCGAAAAGAAGACTACTGACTGGTGAACTTGAATGTATGAGTGAAAACAGTATTATGGCAACCAAACTTTCTGAGTATGGATCTTAGTCAATAATTGCAGGGCCAGGTCACGCAACATCATTAAAGTCACTGAGTTTTTGCCATCCTATCCCAATAAGCAAATGACCAGGGAGTAAAGGAGGCTGCGAGTTGGATGGTGGAACTGGAACCTGAACAATAAAAAAGCAGGTTCAAGTAGAACATAAGGTTGACGGAAACTCGAGGACTGCGCCTACCTGATGAGCCCCATGAAGGGCGAAACCGGTCGTGGGCTGCCGAAGAGTTTTCAGCAACCTTGTGAGTAATTTCTTTTATGAAAAAAGACCACCATTTTTCTCTTGGTGAAATTAAAACTTCATTATTGCCTATCTGCTGCGAAAAGCAACTCGGTTAAAACCGGGACAAATTCTACAAGATGGTAGGTCTTTTTGAGCTAGCATCGGTTTTTCACATAGACCAACCTCAAACGATAAACGCTGGACCACTGTTTCACAACCTCAGAGAGTCTCGTGCCTGAATCCCCATTGATTCAACTATACACCGTGTTCGAGATTTGACTTCCATGTCATCTTTTCATAACCGTTGTCCCTTACAAAGGAAGTGGTTCCCGGGTCCACAACTCAGACGTACTATTTGAAACTTCATATTCCGTGGACTCTCATGTGTGATTATGCCGAAATGCTGCATCTGCGTGCTCCACTCGAAGTGAGTTGACTCAGTATGTGTTCACTGGTTTCACCAAGATCTCTCCTGTGCATAACAGTTATTGATCATGCCTATTCCGTTCATCGTCACTAAATTGAACTCCATATATATACATCAACGCATTTCTTTCGTGACGTTTATTTTACAACTCTGGATCTATCGGGTCAGTCGCCAATGCCTGCGCAGTGGCCGGAATAACCCAAACGGTGATTTTGTCCACTTTTTGGTGGCACATCAAAAGTACCAATGCAATACAACAATACACCCATAATGCATACTGGTGCTCACTTGCCATAAACGATGTAATATGGACTGCTACCGCATTGTAGGGAAGGAACGATTTCCTTTACGTTATCTTCCAATTCAAAAGTAAACCATATTTGCATAGTTCCTCAGTGCACATCACATTTTATGATACAAACGTATACAAACGTTTATTCAGTCTGGGAAATTTCTATGAGGATAGTCTTCTTATCCGCCTCACAGCAAACACATCTAGTAAAACCCAATATCATATCAAAATATTTTACTCAGCAATTTGGCAATTTAAAAATGCCGATTGGCATATGGCAGAGAACTAATTCATAATTCTCCAATACCTATTTCGAGCACAACTCACAGTTTTTACTCCTTTTTTATACATGGTAACGAACATTTTGCATTGATTTTTGCCTTCATAGTGCGTGGATGTTGGTTAACTGATGGTAATATGTTCCAAAAAGAACTTATAATGGGTTGGTGACAGCATACGAAATCTAATAAAAGGGTACCTTTTAAAGCGCAGGTGTGTAGCTCCTCTGTGACAGTATCTCAAGGTGAATCCTTTACGCGCCAACAAACACCGATCGATAAGAGGATTCTGATGAAACTGTTTCGTTTTTCGGTACCCCCGTAAATCAGATAAGAGGGAGACGGCTTATTTCCCCACCACATCGTTATGCCCTATGATAGTGACTGCTGTGTTAAGTAGCACAATGTTATAACTTGAAACTTGCTATTCCGCGATGACAACGGGTTCCTTGTCACTTCTTGACCGATAGGATGTGGGCACAGCGACATCTAAAGACTTATTTTGGGTGGACTTACAAGTAGGCATTACATTGCCCAATTTTATTGCACCTGTATGCTGATTGGAACATTGTCTACAAAGAGGTGCACGCATTCTCACACCGCATTCTCTCCTGTCATTCTGCTTAGTATGTGGGCGAAGGTCAGATGTCCAGCTGGTCCGCTTCCGTTTTGAAAGCTCTCCATATACCAAACATCATGCACCAGGATGTACCAAACCCACCAACAGAATACTACACCTGTCAGTTCAAGAAATCGAAAATTGAAAAGTGAGTGAGTCAACGACAGTGATTGTGACTTACGGAGGACAATTTTTGAAAACAGCAGAATTTTGTAAGCCACAATTTTTTTAGCTATTTGCTTACACTTGTTTGTTTTTTTCTTGATTTGCGGANATAGACCATCTCAATATAGTTCTCGGGAAGAAGTGCAGTCAATATCACTGGCTGAGTGTACTTTAGAAGTAAACCGTGTAATTAGATGGACAACATTCATTCAGTGCACTATTAGCAGTTCCGCTAGGCATGTGTATCACCTGTTCAGTGACACATATGAACGTTATCATTATCGCCAATAGCCCTGGGTGACTGTCATACCAAAATAATTAACCAACTGATCGTAACACATACTAAGTCATCTAGTAGTTTAGCAGCCTCAGGTTAATTTATCCCGTTTCTCCTGGGCAAATTAGACCAGGGTAAAAGTTGTACGAAAAGACGTTTTGACTGGCACTTGATGTGACCTATCTACATTGTTCGCAAAAAACATTGCTTTCAATCGCTTAGCAGTTCCCTACAAAATTTCGGGTGGCATAGTTCAGCCGAAGTCTACTGGATTGTCTGCTGTCAATTCCATATATTCCGTTCTGTTTACATTTAAACGACAGTATTCGATAAAATATCGACCGAGGAGTGTAGCATTGATTATTTACGAAATGTGGGCTGTGTTGTGAGTGTAGCGAGCACCGCTTCACGCGTAGGTATGCAGGAGTTAACTTAGGCCACTAATCAGTACAGTATGTGGGTTAGACAGGCGGAAACACAGGGCAGTTGCATCAAGTCTTGGAAGAGTAAGCGAAGGCGGAAGCCATACAGTATCTCAAGTCTCCGAATAGTCGGAGCGACTTCAGCCTCATAAATTCTCGTTTATTTTACGCCTCATGCATGAAGCTAGGAGCTTCTTGAAACCTGCCGCAGTAGGAGAAATCGTTCCAGCAATTGATGCCACGCGTCAATGACTACTGGAAGGCGGTTTATTTCAGGCTTGCACACTTTCGTACGGCGCCCTCTGTCTGGTGCTTCCAAGTGCGAAATAAGAATGCGCTAAGTTCCTCTCCCGCACTATCTTTGAGATTCTGTTAAACCCACTCGATGTCCACGAAATAGTAAGTTCCGTTATTGTACACGAAGCTGGTAACTCAACCGGCGATGATTCAAGTTATACTTGCATCTGTGACTTTCTCCAGTCGGTCAGTTCCAGTTTTGTAAGTGATAATGGTGCAGGCTCACTACACTGTAAACAAGATCTTGTGTGAGAGCGGAAAATGCGTCGCATGGCTGAAAAAATTCGCTGGGTCGGTTAACGTCTGTGGAAGTATCGGAGCCAGATTTTGCGTCATCAGTTACCAAAACCTAAAGTTATTTCTTGGGAGTGTCAGTGAAGATAACTTACTAATTGATATGGCGAGACACGGACTGAACAGTCTTACCTATTGGGAAAGTTAATTGAAAACTGCCAGTTGACTGATCAGATAGAGAAAGACATCTGCTGGAGATAACACTGATACCTATAGTCACGGATCAGCATGCCTCAAGCATCACGATCGACTGAACGACAGTAGATCTCGCACATAAATTCTGGACATCTCAGTACCCAAAAGCGAATCTCGAGGTATCCTATTGGTGGAAGCCCAAACGATGCCTTTCGACTTGACCCCTTATCAGGTGATTTGATGGAAATTTGGCAGTTCACCATCACGGTTTTTCTAGAACGCTACATTACCCAAGCTGACAGAAAGGCCGTTGTTAGTGTACGTTACTAAATACTTTACTGATGTTAGCGTAATATGCATCAAAGCGAAACCCGGGGTCTATTAGCTTAGCTCACTTCTCGCAAACGAGCAGAAACTTTATGATGCAAAAAAGGTGTCTGGGGAATTCTCTCTAGGCCGCCGTAATCTCGCTTTCACACTTCTCCCTAGAGTTTTGCAAAGAACGAATGTCAAACTAATAGGTTGCTGTTTTTTTGGAAATGTGGGGAACTCCGTTTGTACATTAGTTGCTACAGTGGCAGTCTCCAGATAGTCGACCTTCATCAGAGGACAATTTCAACATATGAAAGACATGAGGTTCGTTATTGTTCAAAATAATTTGATAAAGTAACGGCTTCGGGACAAAATGTACATCTAGGATGCCGAGTGGACCACCAACATATTCTAGAATCAAAGTGTAGATAGATCGGAAGAGC